GGGGTTAGGTACTCGTACGTTTTTTTTTTTTTTTTTTTGGGGGGTTTTCCCCCTTCCGTCGTTATCGCCCCTCCCCCCAACGTGTGCGTGTGTGTGAGGGCCGAAACCCCACAAGGCGGGTGTTAGGCGTGTAGCAAACATAGTGGGTCTGGCGACAATGGCAACCGCGTTGCCCTCGTCGTCAGCGCTGATGCCGCGGCAACTACTGCCCGCGATGCAGGAGCCCCTCGTGCCGTCGATCAACTTCGCTATGGTGTGCCCCGGCGTGTACCGCTCCGGCTATCCTACGCGCAAGAACTACCGCTTTCTGCGTGCGCTGCGGCTCCGCACTATCTTGTACCTCTGCCCCGAGGACTACGCGGAGAGCAATGTAAAGTTCTGCGAGGAAAACGGTATTTGTCTCCTTAGGTTCGCTACGGAGGGAAACAAGGAGCCCTTTATGGACATCTCGGAGATGCTGATGCACCGCATCCTCAGCGCCCTCGTTGACACCCGGACGCATCCCATCCTTATCCACTGCAACAAAGGGAAGCATAGGACAGGGGCCGTGGTTGCCTGCCTGCGGTTGCTGCAGGGGTGGTCGTTGGTGTCAATCTTTCAGGAGTATCGTTGCTTTGCCGGTGACAAGGCCCGCATGGGGGATCAGCAGTACGTGGAGCTCTACCACCCCATTGTGCGCGTGACGCCGCCGTACGTGGCGGAGTGGCTGTGCATCACACGCGAAGTCACCGTCGTCCAAACCGAGGAGGAGTTGCTGGAGGCGGAGGCACAGCAGCTCGGCTGGAGCCTCGTCGCCCCGCCATCACCACCGGCGCCGACGCCGCCCTCACCACCGTCCCTGCCGAAGAAACAAAATGCGCAGCCGAACCCTCAGCCACACCCAGAGGAGCATAAAGATGAGCTGCATAAATTGCCACCGCTGCCGCCTTCGTCTGCAACTGTGCCCGCAAAACTGCAGCCGTCTACCGTAACAGTGGGTTCTGCTACATCCATCACGGCCACTCCAACATCCCGGCGTTCCGGTGGACACGGCGAAGGTGCAAGTGAATCAGGGAAGACGAAGGACACCGGCGTGGTCTTGCGGAAGGAGAACGGAGATAGTAAGAAGGGACAAAAATGAGACTAACTTTCAGCATATCAAAAACCACTGGCAGAGAGGGGGATCGCCGTGTTTGCGGCGGGCGTATGCGGTAGAGCGGTGTTGTTTTTGCAGTGTTTCTGCAGGCAAGAAGCTGGGACATGGGGAGGGGCGTGTTGCATTGAGGTGTGTAAACGTATCCTCCGGGAAGGCGTGCCCGCGACGCGCACACACTGCCCCACCCTCCCCTCTTCCGTGCACCTTGCCTCTTTCGTCCCCGTTTCCCGCTTCCCCCCCGAAGACATCACTTCAGCCACACGGCGTTGGTTTTGTGTTGTGTGGCGCTGCCTATTTGTGGTTTTTCTCTTTATCACCATTGTTTTTTTTTTTTCCCCGCCACGTTTCACGGCTGCTACGTGTGCGTGTGTGCGTTCGTGGCTGAGAGGGGCGGGAGTGGGCAGCCGTCTTTCTTTTCGTATTTTCCCTCTCTCTCGCTTTTACCCACTCTCTCTCCCCCTTACTAGTCTTAAAGCGGCGGGTGAGCCACGTGGTTTATCGCGCGGCAACGGGATATATATATATATATATATATACGGGTGCTTCTGCGCCTCCGCCGCATTGTGTTTCTGCCTTTCATCCCTTCGCTTTTAACTGTGGAGCTTGCCTCGACGCCTGGGCTCCATACCGGCGCCGCAGAGGAAAAAGGGAGCGTAATTTTTTTTCTTTCTCTATCTTGCTTACGCGTACACACACGCACCGGGAGGGGTTGCGGGTAGATATACTTGTACATCGTCAATTGAGCAGAATAGCAAGCGGTCCTCTGACCGAGTACTGTGTCCCCAAAAGATACTGGAAGAGAAAGACGCACGTGCACGACAGCAACAACAAAAGCAAAGGCATAGGGAAAACAAAACACTAAAGGAGAGAGAGACGGAGGAGGATATATTGTGAGATGCCATCGTTGCTACGTACCAACTATGCACTCATGATGTTCTACGTTCGGGAACGCTTCTGGCGACACGCGGAGCTTGTCTGCACGGACACCATTAACAGCACCGACAGCTGGGTCTTCCGGGTTTGGCGCGCGCTTTGCTACGACCAGCAGGGTCAAGCAAATGAGGCACTGCGTGAATACAAGGCAGCGGAGCAGCGGCGGGAAACCACTCTCCCTGCATTGATGGGTATTGCACTGATCTATCGCAGGAACAAAGACGTGGAGGGACTCGCCGCGGTTGAACGCTCTATGGGCGACGGCTCCCACGCGGATGACGTGGGTGGGTGGGCACAGGCGGCCGCGCTGGCGTGGGCGGCCGGCGACGCCTCCGGCGCCCGTGACATTTTCATGCGCTTTCAGGATGGCTACGACGAGCACCGCGACGAGTACACCAACCTCGCAACGCTGCGAGCGTGGGTGGATCTCAGCACAGGCCGCACCGCTTTTTTGGAGAAGTCTGGCACGCTCCTTCGCAAGGTCATGGAGATGGAGGAGCAGGACGGGCAGACAGTGGACTTGGATGCTGCCATGGGCCGCGTGGTGTACTTTGAGCGCAAGACGCAGTTCTTCCTTGCCCAGCAGCTACTAAACAAACTTATCGTCAACTACCCGAACTTTGTCCCAGCGCTTGTTGTAAAAGCACGACACCTCATGAAGGCGGAGGACTGGGAACAGTGTTGGGAGACGACGAATCGTATCCTCGCCAAGGAGAAGACAAACCTCGAGGCGCTCGCGCTGAATACCTTGTTTTTGCTGGTAAAGGACGCCCGCTACGAGGACGCCGCCGCTCAGCTGCCGCGGCTTCTGGAGGCAGTCCAGGAAAAGGAGCCAAGGAATGCAGCACTGTTTTTCGAGTACGCGCAGTGTTTCTCGCGCCTGAGCGGGACCTACCTGCCGCTGCTGGGCGTCACCCTGCAGTTTGCGGAGGTGGCCCACCGCATGGTTTCGCAAAAGGGCGACTACCTCGCCGAGGTGGGCTACCAGCAGATGCTGCGTGGCGAGTACAAAGCGGCCATCGCCACTTTTAAGAGGGCTTCCGCCACGCCAGACAGCAGCATAACCCCTCTGCTTGGTCTCATACGCGGCCTCATCCTCACCGGCAATCTTGATGAGGCTGCGAAGCAGATTGAGTTTCCCAACGAGATCCAGGCACCGAACCAGCGCAACGCTGAGTTAAGCCTCCTCAACGCCATCCTGCAGTGGCGGCGGAATAAGAACCACGCAAAAACCCTTTTTTTTCTAGACCAAGCGGCAGAGGCTGTGAGACAAGATGTGGGGTCCTACCAAACGGGGACGCAGCTGTATGTCAAACTGAACCCGCCACTGATGCTTGATATTGCGAAAGAGTATATGCAACACTGCCGCACAGAGCCGCCGGACCCAACCGTGCGCAAAGCAGACCCCATTGTGGAGAAGTGTAAGCGGCACCTAGAGTTGTTGTTGCGGCACGTTCCAGGCTGCCTGGAGGCGCAGCTCCTCCTCTCCAAGATGTACTTTGTTGCCGGCGACCTTGAGCGGGGGCAGGCAATGATCAAGACATGCATCCAGCATGCACACGTCCTCCCCGACGCGTTTCTGCTTTCCGCACAGATGTGTCAGTACGTGGGCAACGCCACATTGGCCTCGCAGGCGCTGGAGCAGGCACTGACTTTGGACTTTGAGATGAAGGATCAGCCGCAGTACAACCTGCTGCACGGTATTGTGCTTGGGATGATGAACAAGCTTCAACAGGCGCTGGGGGCGCTGGAGCTGGCGGTAAAACTCACAAAGGACAAGTCGCGAGTGACGAGCAAGGGTCGACCGCTGCAGCCGCTGAGTGTGCAGGACCACGTCAGCCTGTACCTGCAGCTGGCACAGACGCATCTCAGGCTGCATGACACAGAGGAGGCGCGCGCCACCTTAGCAGAGGCCACGGCGCTGTTTAAGGACACAACTCAGGCTGGGCGGGTTGCGATTGCGAGCGCGATGGTTGCCGCCCGCACAAACATGGAAAAGGCCGTGGAGATACTTAAGCAGGTGCCGCCGCAGAGTGAGTTTTTTACCGCCGCCAAGACCCGCATGGCAAACCTCTATCTCACATACCGGCAGAACCGCCAAATGTACGCCAACTGCTTTGAGGAGTTGGTCGAGGAGGTGCCGACACCGCAGAGCTACTTTCAATTGGGCGAGGCGTACATCAACATCCATGAGCCAGAGAAGGCCATCACCGCCTACCAGCAGGCAAAGGCGATGGACCCTGACAACAGTGAGTTGGACGTCCGCATCGGACGCGCCCTAGTGTCCACGCACGACTATCAACGCGCTGTTCGTTACTACCGTGATGCGGTAGCGGCGGATGGGGCAACGTTCACCGTCCTTGCCGACCTTGCGACGCTCTACTGGCACCTCGGCGCTCCCGACCGTGCGATTGGGGTGCTGAAGGAAACGCCGGCGTACAAGACTGAACCGGATGCTGGGGAGGACGTCAAACGCGCCATTGAACGTGTCAACTGCACACTGCTTATGTACAAAATTCACCGCAGCTGTCAGAAGTCTGAGCTGGCGGTGGAGGCGCTCCTGCAGGCTCGTGGCTTTCAGGAGCATGTTTTGCACAACTTGCTGCGAAATGAAACGCGTGAGACAATGTACCAGCAGAAGATGGTTGCCTCCACCATTGCCCTGGAACTGGGCGGTTACTACGCCTCGATCGGCGACGTGGAACATGGAAAGGAGTGCTACCAGGCAGCGAAGATGTACGACGAGTCAAACGAGGCGCCGCTACTGGCAATGGCGCGGCTCTTGCTTGACAGTGGTGATGCAGCAGCCTGTGAGGAGCGGTGTAATGCGGTGCTGCAGATGAACCCCGCCTGTGAGGAGGCGGTTATCATACTTGCCGACGTCATGATTTGTCGTTACCGGTTTGAGGAGGCGGCGCAGCACTTTAGCCAGCTCTTGGAGAGGGCCCCGGACAACTATGAGGCGTTGGTGCAGTATGTGCGGCTGCTGCGCCACGCCGGGCGTCTTGGCGACGCAGAGAAGGCGCTCGAGCGAGCCGAGGGTCTCGTGCCAGTGGGACAACGACCCCCGTCGGGGTTGAGCTTTGCGCGGGGGCTGTACCACCGCTACTGTTACGATAATCTGGAGGCCCTCCGCGCCTTTAACGCCGCGCGGGTGCCCGCCGATGACTCCGCGTGGAGCACGCCCGCGTTGACGAACATGATTGAGATGTACCTCTTTTCCTCAAACGAGGAGTTTTGGGTTGACACCGTCCTGCGGGACGAGGACAAGAACGAAAACGTTAGGATCGCCGAGCGGCTGTTGCTGCAGATGCCGCAAGGGGAGTCGCGGGACATTCTGCAAGGGTATTGCTGGCTAGCGAGCAAGAAGCGGCCGTTGGTAGATCGAGCCATAAAGGAATTCACGCAGCTCTGTGCCGCTGCTGAGACGGCGGCGCAGCAGGAGGAGCCGGCGGACGATGAAAAAAGTGCGGAGGGTGAGGAAAAAGACGAAGATGAGCAGTTGCTGAGTGACGCCAACCGACCGCTGCCGCCGCGTGGCAGGCCGAACGTTCCCGCCCGTGTGGGTTTGGCCACCGCGTGCTTTATTGCCGGCTTCGAGAAGAGGGCGGCTGCCGAGATTAAGAAGATTGTCTACACCCCGTTTGACCCCCTCACCACTGATGCCGTGCACCGTGCCCGCCTGCTCGCCGCACACATGAGCATCCTCAAAAAGAAGCTTACAACGGCGCAGAAGTTGCTAGAAAAGAACATTGAGGTTAACAGGAGTTGCGCGCTGACCTGGCTGATGATGGGCTCTGTGCACGAGCTTGAGAATAATCATACCGAGGCCGCCAACTGCTACGAGAATGCCTGGGAACTGACGAAGGAGCGTAATCCCTCGGTGGGGTACAAACTGGCGTTTCATCGTATGAAGTCGGGAAAACTGGTCGCGGCGATTGATGTGTGCCGCAAGGTGGTGGATGTGCATCCCAGTTATCCAAAAATACATGAGGTTCTGGATGCCTGCCGCAGCCTTCTCCGGCCCTGAGTATATGTAAGCACGAGGAAGAGGATGAGGAAAGGCCGTCTGCAGACGGCATATAGTAAAGGTAGAGTGCAAGTCAGAGAGCCATAGAAACGTGGAGGAGAGTGTGGGGGTGGTGCGGACTAGAACAGAACTCATCAACGGGTGTACGCGGAGAAGTTGCACGTGTACGACGTCTCTCCTCCTTTGTTTGTTTTTTTCTTTCTCTGTGTGGTTGCGTGGCGCACCCCAGGAGGAAAAGGAAGGTGTGTGTGGCCACCATGGGCGCATTTGAGGAGTTTTTGCTGGCGGCGGCCGAGAAGGCGCCGTTTTTGGTTGGCGAGGTTGCCCCCACAGTGGTGCAGCGGAAGTCGCAGAAGCGGGACCGGGGGGGCGACGCGGTGACGGGCGAGGGCAGCAGAGTCACGAAGCAGCCGGCGACACACGAGGAGGAGGTTGCACGGCTGCAGCGGCTGCTTGTGGACGGCCCGCTGCAGCCGCTCGGCCTGGAGCACGCGGTGTACCACGTTCTCCTCCCTGCGTTTACCGCCGCTGTGGGGGCGGCGCGGGAGGTGTGGCGCGCCACAGCGGCACTGCGGGCAGGGGAGGCGGACGCAACACAGCAGGGGTCAGGCGAGAGCGCAGGTGCCAGCGCAGACCCCAACGCCAACGCAACAGGGACGCCGTCCGGCACGCCGCCGAGCGTGCAGGCCCTGCAACGGGTTCTAGTTGCAGCACAGGCGAAGTTGACGGCGCAGCGGCAGCTGCTGGACGCTGCGGAGGCCAAACTGCGGGCGACAGTGGAGGCTGTAACGTCCACCTGCGCCACCGTGCGTACGCCATAGGGAGGCGCGGGCGCGGAGGCCTAAGAGATTTTCATGCTGCTTTTTTACTCAATCACTAGGCTCTTATTTTTTATTTTTTGTTTTTGTTGTTGCGTGCTGTTCTGTGCTGTGGTGCTGCTGCTTTTATCCTTATTGCTTGTCTTCTTCACGCATCCTTGCCATTTTTGTGCTACCGCAAGGAAACACAGCACACAGCAAAGAACAATCTACGTGGTATTACGCTGAGGAGTTGCAGTAGCAAATATGCAGGTCTTCAGCGAGCGCATGGCTTCACGTGGGGGAGGTCCGTTGCCGCTGGCGTACTACATGCGGCCCGAGGTGACGACGGCGGATGGGGCCCCACCAGTGGACGTGTTTGTGGCGAAGCTGGGAGGGCGGACATTTCATGAGTCGCTTCGCAGCGATAGTGGGTTCGCAGTCGTTACCGCATTTCTGCTTGGCGGCGCTGACGTCAACGTGCGGGACACGCATGGGGCGACGCCGCTGCACACCGCCGTCGCACGGGTTTCCCCCGCAGACGGCGACGGTGGCGATGCGGATACGTTGCTCTCCTCCGAAGGCCCCAACAATTTGATCGTCGCCTTTCTCCTTGACAACGGCGCCGACGTGAATGCCCACAACAACACCGGCGAGACGCCGCTTATGATTGCCGCGGCCACACAAAATATCGCTGCGGTGCGGATTCTCCTTATACACGGCGCGGACCCGTCGCTCCAGGACGATCTGGGAAACACGGTGCTGCATCACGCCGCTCGCCACCCGCACGTGCTGCAAACGCTGCAGGCGTGGATTGACGACCTTCCCGCCCGGGCGGCGCAGGAGAACCTCCTCCATGTGGTGTGCCGACAAGGCGGCGGTGCGGAGTTCGCGGCGCTTTTTCTCATTGAACAGCTGGGGCTCGACGTGAATGCACGCGAAGATAAAACCACCACCGCTCCGCATGCCGCCATCGCTGATGACGATGTCCGTCATGCTTCCGGTGAGGTGAGCAACGCTCCTGCGGATGCCGCCGCCGCGTCACCCTCCAGCATCACGGTGCGGGAGGGGCTTACCCCGCTGCACTGCGCGGTGCTCGCGGGTGACCCCGTTCTGGTGCGCGTGCTGTTGCAGAAGGGCGCCGATGCGGAGAGGCCAGATGCCACTGGACGGACGCCGCTGCAGTTGGCAAAGGAAGGCGCGGCGTTACTTTCATCGTCGCCCTTCTTTATTAAACGCCACTGCAGCTCATTGCGGCTGCATGGACGCCGCGGTAAGACGGCGAAGCATAGCGATCCACAAAGGGTCTGCGCGGTTCTGGAAGGCTATTGTAACGAGGTCTCCTCTAGGAAGAGAGAGGTGAACTTGCAACGTGAGGCGGCGGCCGAGATATCGATGTGGAGACTCATTTCGTTGGTTGACGTACTGTCCTTTGGGGCGGCGGCAACGGTGCCGCACTTTGTGTTAGCGCTTTGCGCGTTGCTGCCGTTGCCGTTTTGGCTTCTAGCTGCTGCAGCTGTGCTTATCCTCATGTCGTGTGCCGGCTTTAGCGTGCACGACGAGCGCCAGTTGAATGCGAGGCCGCTGCGCTCGCCAGGGTTCTTTGTGAGCTACACCCTGGCACTGCTGACCTTCAGCTGTCTGATTGAGGACGCTGTGGCTCCGCAGCACCCCACCGGCCGCCAGGGGCTGCTGCTCTGCGGCGTTGGTGGCGCCGCGTGCGCGCTAGTGGCGATGTGGAGTAACCCCGGTGTCGTGGAGTCCACCGCGGGGCAGCGGGCGGGAATCTACAAGACCATTTTTCACTCCAAAGGGGCTCCACCAGAAGACGTGCGGCAAAGCATTGATCTTGTCTGCATGGTTAAAAAGCCTTTGCGGGCGCACCGTTGCCGCCACCTTGGACGCGTGGTGCTCCGGTACGACCACTACTGTCTGTGGCTGTCAAGCTGCATTGGCGGGGGCAACCACCGCCCGTACGTCGGTTTCCTCGTCTTTTACACCGCCCTGCTTGGGATCGAGTGTCACAGCGCCTACTTGTTGTTGTCGGGACGCATTGACACGGAGGTGGTTTTAACGCACGCACCCTTCAGGCGTTTTGTTGATGTCTACACTTCAATTGTCTTGCCCATTGTTTTTCTCCTCTCCCTGTGGGCGCTGCTGAAGCAGCTATGGTACATTAGCCGCGGTGTCACTGTCTACGACGTGCAACACCCGTCATGCAGCCCCTGGTGCTTTCAGCTGGGGTCACGCACGTACTCCCTCTTTGATGCCGGGCCTGCAAAAAACATGTACCGATTTTTCCTGAGACGTGAAAACCTTCTGGCAGTCACGCACCGGATGCCGGTGATGAGTGCACGACTGCAGCATGTGGCAAAAACATATCAGGCGCATCAGTTTAACTCGTGCCAGGGGGGGCAGTGCAACCAACACACGCACAGGGGTGGCGGCCACTCACATGCCGGTGCAGCGTGTCAACAGCAGCAGCAACAGCAGCAATGGAACATGCCCGCAAACACGGTGCCGGGTAACGTGGACGGGGGGTTTGGATCGCTTGTGACAACTTCCGTTGTTGGTTCTGCACCTTCCACACCGGCGCCCGCGCTCGCGGCGGAGGCAGTTGCTGATGCATCTACTCCTCGCGCCATTGTGGTGGATGCCCCTACTGCCGCTGCCACAACGCCTCTGGCCTTTGATGCCGCCGTGGGTCGCCTCTTTCAGCTGATGGTGCAGCAAGACGGTGCGGATGTAACGGCGGTCGCAGCTGCGGGTGAACTGCGGCTTGGCGTGCTGCCCGAGGAGTGGCCGGATGTAGTAAATAAGGCCCAGTCCATGTTTAGCTTCTTTAAGCGCACCATGAATATGGGTAAGTAGCCCCACAGCCGCGTAGAAAAGACGCTTGTTGGCGTTGACCATCGAGGGTTTGTATGCGTCTGTAGGGAGGAAGGGGAATGTGAGGCTGATGCATAGAGCAGCGTGGATTGTCCCATCCGTCCAGCTTTGTCTGCCTTGTCGTGTGTGCGGTTCCCACCGTCGGCACCACCACCACACATCACTTCACTCATGTTACTTTCTTCTATCTTTCCTCTCTCCACTCTTTTCTGCCTTGTCGCAGAGGCGGCGGCTGTCTGTTGTTGCTGCTGCGCTGGCGAGCGGCGGTGTCACGCATCTTGCCGAACCCTTTTTTTCCCCCTTTTTCTATCCTTCCTGCAAGCAGCAGCGCGGTGAAGCGGCATAACAAAGAAGTGAAACATAAAAAAAAAGAAAAAGAGGAAGTAGCCAGCGTCCTCGTCCTCGCCACCGCCACCGCCACAGCAGCAGAAGCAGTAGCGGTGCAACAACAACAAAGGGATCACACGCAAAAAGCGAATAGTGAAGAGAGGGACGGCAGAAACGAATTAGGCCAAAGGAGCAACAAAGTAAACAAACACGAACAAACGAAACGGGAAAAGGAAAAAAAAACAACAACGAGGAAAGAAAGGAAAACAACAAGAAGAAACCGCAGTCCAAAAGGGAAGAAAGCAACAATAGCAAGCACAGAATCATCGCGAGCGCCGGCGTTATCTGAAAGACGAAACAAAAAAAAAGATAGAAAGTGAGCGGGCGGTGGCCACTCGTGTGGGTTGGGGCGCACGCATTGCCGGTGTGTCATAGTGGAACCCTCGAGACTTTGTATTCCGCAGCGTATTTTTTTTTGTTGTTTTGCTTTTTAAAGTATTGTTTTTTTTTTTCCTTGAGACGGCCGTCGTGCGTACAGGCGGGCCTAGTGACAGATGCGGCGGGGGTTTGGCACGCAGAGCGCCGCCCTCTACGGTCACCGAAGTGGCAGGAGCAGCAGTGCAAGGGACGTGGAGCGGGAAGGTGTGATCGGTTTGCCCCGGCAATGGGCGAATAGGGCGCGTGGGTCCTCCTCTGGATCGCGTTGCGAGCACAGAAACAGCTGCGTGATTGGCGGAGCAGACGCTAACGACAGCGGGGAGCCATGGATGAACGGCGACGCCCGCAACCCCTCCCTGCGTGCCACCTCGATGCCATCGGAGCCTCACGAGGAGGTCGGCGAATGGGGAGGGGTCTCTGCAACCGCTGCAAGCGGTCACAGCACGTCAGACGATGCGAATGGTCTGACGATACAGAGTAGAGCCAAGCTATTGCTGGCGCCTCGTCCGCTGCTGGGGCAGGAGGTAACAGCGCACGGCCAGGAGAAGCACACCGGTGGGGCGATACCTCCACCATCGGCGTGTAGTCGCACGAGTAGTAGTGGCAGTCGTGTCGCCGCTGCAAGGCGGGAGGTGGTGAAGGCCGTCGTAAAAGACGCAGCCTCGCCGGATACAGTAAACGGTGTGAATTCTACTAGACTGGGAAAGCGAAAGGTGGCAGGGAAGCCAGATGTCGTGAGGCTTTTGTCGTCGCCCAGCAAGGCGCAGGTTCCACTGGATATAATTGCCGCACTGGACGATCAAGTGAATGTGGCTGCGCCCGAAGCTACGGTATCTTCTACAGACTGCAGGCGAGGCAGCTGCCTCGCCTCAGCGGGGAATGCGGATCAAGCAAGGGGGGAGGCCGATGGAGAGGAGAGCAACGGCGTAGCACCAAACCGAAATGCTTCTGGAGATAAACAAAAGAAGGACAATAATGAAGTCACGACGGTGGGCATCGTGGATGCAGAGGCGACAACTAGCCACTACGGTGCACAGGCGCAGCCATCCATGCTGCAGAGGAAAGTTTTCCCTGGGAATGTAAAACCTGCACCACTGCCTCTCCCAGGTGATGTCCCGCAGGATCAATCACAGAGCGGCGACAGCAATTCTGCTCGCACCAATCCAGCAGCGCTAGCCCCACAGCATACCCCTCCACAGCAGCAGCAGCAACAACGTGGCTCCGCTTTAGCACACAACGCTCAGAAACTGATGTCCCCCGCCCTGGGTCCCTCTTCCTGGACCTTCCTTTCCACACCTGACTTCGTTTCGTGTTTACAAATTTATGTGAAGACGTGTTTGGGGCTTCGCGAGGCCCATATACAGGCGAGACAAGGATTTATTGCTAGAGTGCAATGTATCGTGAAAAAGGTGCTTGGTCCTCGCGCCGAAGTGCGAGTGCATGGCTCCATTACCACAGACCTTGCGCTCGCCTCTAGTGACATTGACCTACTTGTTGTAGGATACGAACCTCTTACCCCGTTGCAGGCGATTCAGCACCTATCGCGGGCCATCCTTCACATCAGTGAAAAAGAGCTAAATGAGTTGGAGGCTGAGGAAGCTGGAGAGGCTGGTGTGGGCATGGCGGCTGGAAGATCATCTCAGATCTGTTGTGACACCAGCGTTGCTGATGCTGCTAAGGAGTCGTTGGATGATGCGGAGGCACCGAGTGCTTCTCCGGTGGATTTGGAGGATGTCACGTTAGAGCCAGGCGCTGAGCTGGACGCCGGAGACCCCATCATGCGGATGGAGGAGGAGGAGGCGGAGTACCGTTCTCAGATCGAACGTGACTATGTATTTAGTACACGGGCGGGGCTTACCTCGGCTGCAATGGTAACTGCTTTGCCCACGCACAGCCCTAAGACTGCCGCGATGGCGCTGCAGGGTTACATGGGTCCGCTTTCAGTTGCGCCTCTGCAATCTGGCCTGCGGACGCCCATAGGAGAAGGGGAATCCACCGTGGAGTTGGCAACTATGACACAGCATTATGGCGGTGCGGGAGGACACCGACTGTACGTCCCGACTCTTGGAGGCCCTTACTTTGATGTTCAAACCATCATTTCCACCCGTGTCCCCGTCATCAAGGTGGTAGAGAAGTCCACCGGAATGAGGAGCGACATCACCTTTGCTGGTGGCGAGCACTGGCGGTCGATGCAGCTGACGAACCACATGCTAAAGCGGTACCCCGCGTCGCGGGGGCTGATACTGTTTTTGAAGCATTGTGTGAGGCAAATGGGAATTGGTGACTCACAGCCAGGGGGTGTCACGTCGTTCACCATCTACCTTTTGGTGCTACACTTCTTCAACGAGGTTTCGTGCCACCTCGAGGGATTCCTCCAGCAGCAGCAACAAGAACAACAAGCAAAGTGTGAGAGCCGCACCAGTGTGTCCACTCAGTGGGGAAATGAGGGAACGATAGCAAGCTCCAGCGGAACAGGCGATAACGTCAGTGGTGGTGTGAGCCTCAGTGGAACACGTACGGCGACGCCACAGGTGCAAACGCCCTTATCTACTCAACCTACAGCCGCCGCGTCTTTGGCCTCCTCTTGGCTCACCTCGTACCTGGACAAACTCTTTTTAGTGGAGAGGGCGTTTGTGGAGCGATTTCGCCCGTATCAGAAGGAGCAGGAGGGTAAACAAAATACGGCGAGCATCTTGCATCACATTTTCACGTTCCTTCAGGAGGAGCTGCCTGTGGACTTCGAGGAGGACGACAAAGGTCGAACAGCAGATCTCCTCGAGGAGCGAACGGGAGCCAAACTGGTGGCGCCAGTGGGTTACGATGCGGCATCAGGTGAAGCTGCATTGCATGGGGAAGTGCTTTTGGCCACAAGCGAAGCTCCTGTGGCACCGGATGTAGCTTCAGAACAAGGCGGCAACGATGATGTTGAGGTGTGCGCGGATAGGCATGAGGACGAAGGTGAAGATGGTGATGACCGGAGCGCAGCAGCAGAGCTGAATCCCGCCGTTGAGGTCGGAACTTCTTACGAGGTTGGAGGCGGGGGCTTGCAGGAGAGAGAACAGGAGGAAAACGAGACACCAGAAGATAACAAAACAAGTTTGGTCCGCTCCCTGGCACTACGGCTTCTCTCGACCTCGTCTCTGGGCCACCTCTTCCACGACTTTTGCTTTTACTACGGGTTTACATTTAACTACGATAGTCACGGCCTCTACTTTGATTCGCTTGGGAATTCTAGTGTGGTGCCTAAGCCCCGCAAGTGCCAGCAACGGGGGCAGCACCTCTTCATGACGTCGCCGTTTGATGACCAGTACGACCTCACCGCGCGCATGCTGCACACACGCGAGTTTCAAGAGCTTTGTCGCATGTTTGTGCCCCTCACGACACCGGTGACGACTATCTCCGGCTACGGTGGCGGGGGTTGCTCGCTGCAGGAAGTGCTGGAGTGGATCTCGCCCGAAACCGCCTTCGAGGAGCTCATGCAGGTTCACACCGCGATTCAGCAGCAGCAGCGTGCGGAGGTTTCAGGGGCGCATTTGTCAAAGACCGAGGAACAGCTGCCGCCGCTGCCGATCCACGCTGACGGCAGCAAAGGCACAACGCACGCACAGTCGTCGTTACAGGGCGAGGTGGAGGCGCGGGAGCAAAGCACTTCATCCCCACACACTGCGCCGACCAGCAGTGTGGAGGAGCGCCTACCAAAGGATACGCGACTCCCTCGCCGCATGGACCCGGCCGCCTTCAAAAACAGTAGCAGCGCCGTCTCTGGTGAGTCGCGCAAGAAGGTGGATCGAGCGGCGGCAGGGTTAACGACCGACGTCCCCTCGGCGGCTGCACCCTCCACCCCTTCTGTCAGCAGCTTCTCGTTGAGGCAGGGGGGAAGCAAATCGATCCTCGCAGAACCTGGAGGCACGGATTTGGTAGGAAGCCGGTCGGCGCAGGCGTCTTTGACGCAGCGACAGGTAAAACGTCGCGAGGGGGGAGCAGAGGATTCGGCAGCCACCGCTGCCGGTGATGTTGGTGGCAGTGGCACTACTCCTGCTACAGTGAAGCAGCCGCCGGCGCAGGCTGCCGTGCCCGTCTCCGCCGCTGGGCTCGAGGCTGCGATGCGGGAGGCCTCACCTTCGGGAGCGCTGAGGGCGTCAGGTGCACTCACGCCGTCAGGGCTTCCAGTGGGTGGGAATGTAAACTCGGTGGGTGGGGAGGCAGTTTATGCGCGTGCGCAGCTTTCGCGTGCGAGCCCGATGCATCAACCAACCCAGCAGCTACCGTTTCCATTCTCTCCACCAGTTCCCCCATTTATGCTGCCTCCAAACGGTGCTGGCCCTGGATACCCTGACATGTTGCCGTTTTACTTCCAGATGCCGTACTCCTCAGAATTGGTAATGCGTTATCCACAGCAGCATTACCTTCATCAGTATCCGTCTGAGCAGCGTCATCATATGCATCTGTTTCCGTCCATCGGCTACGAGATGCATCAAGTTTACCGGCAACACAGGGTATTTGAGGCGCTGAATGGCGCCGCGGCAGCTGCCACTGCCGCTAGTAGTAGTAGTGGTGGGAGTGGCCCCACGGCGAGTCGGCAAGGCAACACGCGTGGAGTTGGAAGTTCCCCATCGGGCATCCGTCATCGTGGACGTGGTGGGGCTCACCGCAGCACGGCGAGCATGGTGGCGAGCCTCTCCACTGATAAGGCGCCGGCGCTGGTAAAGCCTGCAGCGCTTTTAGAGGAACCGACGGCGTTAATGGAGGGCACTGTCGTGGAAGGCAGTAATAGCAACAAAACTACTGTTAAGGACGCGGCGGCAGAAGGAGCGTCAACGAGGGGGCGACGGCCTGGCACGGCCGAGGCGAAGGAGCGGCTACAGGCTGAGGCCGCCCTTGCTTCTGCTTCGCTGGCACATGAGGTCCAGCAGCATCCGCACTATTTTCAACTCCACCACCACCATCACCAATACCAGCAGCAGCAGCAGCAGCAGCAGTTGCAGCAGCAGTTGCAGCAGCAGCAGCAGCAGTTGCAGCAGCTTGGGCTCAGCCATCAATTTCATCACCAGCAGCAAAACGGCACAAAGTTGCGGAGCACCGGGCAGCATCAGCAACAGGCGCTCTGGAGACAACATCAACAATCTTCATTGATGATGCCACTACCCCAAATGTATGCGCTACCAGGCACTGCAGATACCTCTGTATCTTCTGCCTTGTGTGCCCCAGTGCAGGGGGGACTCATTTTCCGGCAACAACCAAATGCGAGTGGAACGTCGTACCCGGCTGCTGCGACAGCCTCTGGGTTCCCTAGAGTGCCCGCGCATGAGGTTCCCGCCTACAGTTCGGCTGCTTCATTTTTGAATGAGAACCCACAACAACAGCTGCAGCGGAGGCAGTCCTACACCCCCTCTCATAGGCCCGAGAAAGCGGTTGCCGCCACCGCTGCTAGTAGTCGTGACAGTAGTGCTAGCAGCAACAACGCCGGAGGTGGAGGCCCCGTGCGACTACTGCACCGAGCACAGGAAGGAGATGTTGGCGAGGGGAGATTCGTTGAATAGTGTCAGTGGAAGGGGAAGACGGCATACAAGTCATGTCGAATGTGAGAGTATTTCGAGTAGAGCGGGAAGAATGCACAGATAAGTGATGTAAGGGAAGGGGTGCCAGAGAAGGTGTGTGTGTGTGGGGGTGAGGTGGGGGTACGGTAGGTTGTTTTCTGCGCCGCATGACAGGTGGGATGTGGGCGGAGGTATAAGTATGCATACAGCCGTGTATATATATATATATATATATATACATAGACGTATATACACGTATTATATATAATTCATTTTCATGTTTATTTTTACCATGTGGTGAGGCGGAGGAAACGCAAGGTAGGCGAACAAAACTAAAAAGGAAGTAAAGCGAGAAGAAGAAAATAGACGCCATGAAGTGAGGCTGAAGTAACTGGAAGCAAGGGATAAAAAAAAGGAAAAAAAGGGCCCGGGAGAGAGAGAGAGAGAGAAAG